CCCTGAAGTCCTCCTCCTCCTTCTCTCTCATTCCCCAATCTTCAGATCATTTTCTCCCAGATTTCACCCCATATATTTATCCTCTCTGCCTGCCAGCCCCGTCTATTCCTCTCTACTGTGTCGCTATTGGCCATTCAGCTCTTCATCAGGCCATCAGGTGTTTTAGACAGGCACAGTAACGCAGCTTCACAGTTAAGCAAATACAACATAAACAAAAGTAAGACACCTTAAAATAATATTCCCCAACGGGTCCTAGGGTTCACACTCAGGTCTTCAGGCTGGGTACCCAGTGCTTTTACCTGCTGAGCCCCCAAGAACCTAGCTTAGTTCTTAATTGTCAAGTTCGAGCATGTAAATAGCAACTAAAAAACTTCTTGGCAGTCCTGAGGATTGAACTTACAGCCTTGCACATGCTAGACAGTTTCGCTACCACTGAGCCATACCACATCCCCAGTGGTCACTTCTAGTAATGGTTATTACTCATCATTGGATAGACTTTCCCAGTCTCTATGGTGCCAAGGTATGCGTTTTTGCCTATATCATCATGAAGCTGACATAGAAGGTGCCACCATTATTGCCATTACTCACAGGCTGTGTAAGGTTGGAAATCTACTTTTCAGGATCATAGGAATGTAAGTCAGTGAGCCTTTTGACCCATTTCCTCCTCCTTAAAGTACCATCTTTTAGGAACAGGAGAATTAGCATTTTTATGAAAACACAGTGCACAGCACCTAATAGAGGCTCAGTGGAGACCACTTTCACTCTGTCCCTCTCTTCCAGACATAGTAGGACTGCTAGATTACTATAGACACTGTGGTGGTGGTATGATTCTGGTGAGCCATGATGAATGTTCACCTGGGGTGGACAGAAGCTAGCACCAAACTGTCATTTTCTCCTGAAATGACAAAAGGACAGTAAATTAAGAATATGACAGTAGGATGAAAAATTATATTGTATGGGTTCATATTCTGCAGTTATTTATCATGTCAGCATATACAAATAATAGCTGCCTTGAAATGGTTGCTTTGAAAGGCAACCAAGCTGAAAAATAAAAGTTTAACCAATAAGTAGATAAAAATAAGAATCCAAAATCCATAAGCATCCTCACTTTGCCTTTATTCCAAATATACTGAGTTGTTTTTTTAAATAGCTATGAATAGCAGAATTATATTGCTAGTCTAAGATTGCTAAGAAATTAATGACTACATCGACACAGCTTTAGCTTATAGAATGAGACAGCACAGGATTGCACTGTGGAGAAGTTTTGGGGATAAATACGTTCCTATTTGTTCTCTTACAGAGCCTGGGAAAATCTATTGCTAGGAAAGAACATTAACACTCCCCTTCCTCGATCTTGTTTCTTTCTTCATTAGGCATCACTCCCTGCCCCTCTGTAACAGTGTGGCATGTACTGTAATGAGTGTTACAGGTGATTACAATCACAGAGAGGAAAATGCTGTCTTGTTTTTCTATTTCACACAATCCTTAGTCACCTTCTCCTCTAATGCTTAATATTGTGGATTTTTCTTTGGTGAACAAACTGTAATAGTTCCAGCCACATGGTAGTGAGTTATTCCTATGAGCTAAAGAATAATTTTCAATGCAGCGATTCGAGTTTCGTTCAGCTGCTGTGATTAAACGCTCTTACTGGAAGCCACTTAGGGGAGGAAATGGCTTACAGGGTTTACACTTGCAGGTCACCGTTTGCCATTGATGGATGTCAGGACAGGAACCTGGAGGCAGGATCCGTGGTAGAACACTGCTCAATGGCTCCTCACACAGCCTAGTGTTACCTGTGTAGGGAATAGCACCACCTACAGTGTTCCCTCAAAGAAATACCCACAGACCGACTCAATAAAGACAGCTACTCAATTGAGACTTTTTCTCCCCTCTGGTATTTCTATCCTGTGTCAAGTTAACAGTTAACGTTAACTAGGACAACAGCCTAGCTGGCATTCCCTTTTCCAGAACTTTCCTAGAGTGCTAGACCCTACTGGCAGTGGATAATCTTACTTCGTTTGTAATACAGGGTGTGTCGTGGAGTACGGTGAGGTACATGATTGGAGAAGTACAGTACGGAGGCAGAGTGACAGATGACTTTGACAAACGGCTACTTAACTGCTTTGCCAGAGTAAGTCAATTTTGGGAGGAGAATGCCTGGAGGTAAATTTCACAGTGTTTTCCTTTTTAAAAAGTATATGTTTCACTTTAAATTATGTATATGTGCATGGGGCTATGTATGGCTATGTGCCTGTGAGAACGGGAACCTGTGAGGGTCAGAAGAGGTGTCAGTTACCCTGGAGCTGGAGTTAGAGGTGTGTGTGTGTGTGTGTGTGTGTGTGTGTGTGTGTGTGTGCCAAACTCCAGACCTCTGCAAGAGCAAGAAGTGCTCTTTACCACTGAACCATCTCCCCATCTGTAGAATACTTTTTGTTTACAATGGGCACGGCGAATCTGGGGGTGCAATGTAAAGGAGGGATGCTGATAAATAGAATTAGCCGAGACTCCCTTCTTCCTACCACATTGCCCTCAGGTCCAACAATAAACCAACCATCAGCCATCCCAGAGGGCTCCTGAGGATTCTCATACCCATCTTCCCACTGCACTTACTTCATGGTCTCAGTTCTCCAGAACCTGCCAAGAAAACACTGGCCATCTCTCTGTGCCTCTTCCTCTTGAGTAAAAGACACAGTATGGCTCCAAGGCTAAAAATAAGAGCTTGAAGGAGTGCAGTATAATTTCAATGTTACCATCTTTTCTGTTAGAATAAACTGTTGAAAATGGATGGGGTGTTAGGAGTTTTCCATTTTTTCCCAATAAACTCCACATAAATCCTGTGAGTAAACACTTCCTAGAGGATATTATTTAGTAGCAATGATGACTTTACCACAATAGGTAAAAACCATAAATCAACACCCACTGGACACAAACGCTTCCTAAATCTTTTTATGTATTAAAGAAACAATATGCATTTACCTGTGGGGAAAAATCATATATGTGAATATTTTACAGTTATTGGATTCTTTATATTAGGAACTCTGTTAGTAATTCTGCTTCAGCAAATTTTCTCCCTCTGGTCTTCCTCCCCCCCCTCCTTCTCCTTCTCTATTGATATTTGATGCAGCAAATTAAAATCACAACAAATCTATCTCTTAGAAGCCTGTTCTTTTTTAATGAGAGGCAGGAAGGGAGTAGGTCTAGAGGGTAGGGTGGGTAGGGAGGAACTAGAGAGAGTAAAGAGAGGGAGGGGAAACTATAATCAGGATATAATGTATGAGAAAATCATCTACGTTCAACAAAAGGAAAAAAGAAAAGATGAAAAGAGAGAAAAAACACAGTAAAGCATACAAACTTCTGGGACAGTTTGGTAAAACAGAGGTAGACCAGATATCCAATTTTTTGTTGTTTTAACCTTTTAATTAAGTTATACATGGAAAATAGCAAGTATTGGCAAGGATGTATAAAGGTAAGACCACCAGTGCAGTCTGTTGATACTGGCTGAAAACAAGTACCTGAGCAAAATAGATGTCAGAAAATTTCAAGGAAAGGTCCACAAATATGTTCATGGTGACATTGTGTGGGGGAGGTGAAGGCGATCATCCCAGGCTGTTTTATTCTGGAAAGAGACCCTGACATGGGCCTCTCTGTTTAAGTTTCCTATTCCTTCCCTGTTCTCCCACTGCTAAGGCAGTGCCCATCTTCCAGGGCAGTTCCTGGGAAGGCTCTATACTGTAGCACAGTAGTCAGTGCTCCAGCCAGCTGGAAAAGTGTATGCCTGGGTCCTGATGGAGGATGAGATGGTGCCTCACAGCATCCTAAAACAGTGAGATGTAATGACTCAGCATAGTGGCTTCTGTGGCTTCCCCTCTTGGGGTGCAAGCCAGCGGCTCTTGTCTTTTTGTAGCTCCATGGCGTGACTGATGTCCAGACCCGAATCCTGCTCCTGAGTACAGATATATTCTCAGAGCAGATGTTATTCATAGAATAGTTTGAGGTGTTGGGAGGCAGCTTCTGTATCCATCATAGGGATGGTGGTGTGTAACACAGAAGAAATGGTCTATGCGACATCCTGCAGAGACTGTAAAAACATTTGTTCAGTGAAGCTGGAAAAAAATGTAAAATGAGATCTATAAAGTAAGCTGTGTATATTTCATGGGGAGAGATAGATATTCAAGGCCATACATTAAATACATTTAAATAGCCACAGAAAGAAGGAGATGGTGGGTGGATGTCAGAGCTGAATGGAGAAAAACTGGAATAAGAAGGGGACTAGTGTGTGAAAATAATAAATACAGTATGTGAAAAACTCACCTCTGTGCCTGCAAGACACAGGGAAAATATGTCTTAGTCAATTAGCTGTTTTTGAATAATTGTAAAAATGCCTAAAACTGAAGGATTTTAAGATTTACTTTTACTTTTTAGATTCTGTGTATATAAGGGAATAGAGAGATGGTGGAAACACACTTGAGCTGTGTCTCAGTCATGTCAGACTTGCTGGTCTGGGCACAAGGCTCCCTGTCCTGCCACCAGTGCAGTGTTTTTTTTCCCCAGTGACCACAGCTTCTGCCCCACCTGTTTCTAGCGCCGCTGAGCTCTCTCCTCTGCATTTATTTTCCTGCTGTCCCATGCTTGCGCTGCTGATTGACAGCCCTTTGTACTCAAGGCCTTAGTCTGTCGTTGTCCGACCTCTGACAACCTCTCTCCCTTAGTCACTGCTCTCTGTCTTCCCCATCCTGCAACCTCCACCCTCCTTCTGTCTCTATGTCTTGTTCTTCCCTTCTCTCTTTTTCTCATTCCTCTCACTTATTCCTCTGTTAAGCTCGAACATGTCCCAGATGTGCCCTCAGCAGCTAGCTCTCCTGCTAAGCCACAGGTTTTAAAGGTCCCAGTGCTTTCATGGGCTGTGGTCAGTCCAGACCCAGATTATAGCAGCTGCCCAAATCTCTGCGATGGTTTGATGAGAAATGTCCCCACAGGCTCGTGTATGTGAGCACTTGGTCCCCAGGAAGTGGTGTTATTTGGTTATGGACCCTTTAGAAGACACAACTTTGCTAGGGGAAGTCCATCATTAGGGCAGGCTTTGAGGGTTTATTGTCTGACCCCACTTCCTGCTCTCTGTCCTAGCCTCCCCATTCTCTTCTTTCTGCTTTCCGTGTATGGATGAAGTATGACCTCTCTGCTTCCTGACAGCCACGCCAGCCTCTTGCTCCTGCTACCATGCTTTCTCCATCATTGTGGACTCTGTTGTTCTTTGGAACTTTAAACCAAGACAAACCTTTTCTTCCCTAAGTTGCTTTTGGTCAGGGTATTTCATTGTGACAACAATGTCAAAAAAGAGACTAATAGAGTAGTTCATGTAGATCTCATATTCTGTATTTTATTAGTATCCTCTGACTACTCTCCATGCCTGGTGAACCTCAGGGATCTGGGCATGTCAAATCCATGTACTTGGGTATATCTAAAGAAAGCAGTGGGAAAGCCCAGGGCAGAGATGTGTTTGCTTCTGTAGCTACATGTCATCTGGCCACTTGGTACAGTCATTTGTTAGATAACAAATGTGCCATGGACCCAAAGCCCTCATTCCGGGGTATGTTCCTGCAGCCTAAGACACCCATGTCACTAAACAGCTCATTTGTCTTCATGATGACTATACGTACAGCGCCACCTTCTTTAATAACTTGAAATCGCTCCCCAACTCTTAGATTAAACTCTGCTCATCACTCCACATCCAGTCATCCAGCATAGAACTCTCCTCACTTCCCCTTTCTTCTCCCTTCCCCCGATATTTTATTTACTCTAGGCTTCATGACTTCTGTCAGCCCACCTCACACTTTGGTGTCTGATACGCTGTGTCTTCACTAGTGTCCCCCCACCCCCGGCAAAGTCCTAAGTGCTTGTGACCAAAAGCAAAACAAAAAAAAAACCCTCTCATCGGAGACTTCTCTCCAAACCTCACCCTTGCTAAGTCCTTACCTGATATCTGCCTGGCTGTCCCTTCCCTCCTGCCTTAGGCCCTCTGTGCCCTTTGCTTATTTTTATGCTCTTCTGGCTCTTGCCTCAGTGCACCTCATATTAGGGAAATTGTTTCATAACTGGCTTGTCCCTCCACCGGGTCATGAGCTCCTTGAGCGAAAGGATTGTATGTCTCTCTCCTTTGCGTTCTGTTCTGGTTCTGAGCTCTGTGCCATGCACACAGGGATTGAATAGAGAGGAACGCAAGCAAATAGAGCCGTGGAGAAAACCAGGGCACAGTATTTCAGAATAATCGCTGGATCTAAAAAGAGCTGCAAACGGTGATGGGGGGCGGGGCTGAACGGGCAAGGCACAGTCCAGTCTCCTCCACCCCTAGCCTTGCTTCCATTCTTGCCCCATTACTTCCCTCCCTACTAGGAAAATCACCCTGTTAGGTACCAAAGTTGTCGCCTCAAACCAGCTCAGGCATTCACCATCTCTTTTCCCCACCTTTTCAAAAGAAGTCTGTTCACACCAAGTGTATATTTGTTCTCTCACCGTTTTGTTACAGATAATCAATCAATTCATACGGGATGAGAAAAGGGTGCCTTCAGGCTAGCAACAATGGAGGCTGGGCAGCAGATGCATTTGCTTCTGGTGGCTAGGGACAGAACTTAATTAACAAAGGCAGCTCAGGGTGGGAAGGCAGGTGGGAAGGTTTCTGTGCCTGCATTGTTGGTGCTTAGTGTCTGTGAGTAAAACTGTGTGGGCACGGGCCTGAAGAGGAGCCTTGCCCAGGGAGATGGGAGGCCAAGAAGATGCTTGGGTGCCCTCATAGCTGCAGGTGGACCCAAGGAAACCAAATTACTCCTTGTAGAAAGGCTTGAACTCACCTTGTAGTTCAGCATGATCTCAAACCTCTGGCCCTCCGATCCTCCTGACTCTACCTCCCAAGTACTGGAATTACAGGAGTGCACTGTCACGCCTGGTATAAGCCACGCTGGAGATGGAACCTGGTGCTTTGTGAGTGCTATGCAAACACTCAACCAACTGAGCTACACCCCCCCCCCCACTCCCTCCACCACTCTTTCTTCTGCATTGAGGATCAAACTCAGGGCTTCTTTCATGCTGTGCATATGCCCAGCCACTGAGCCCACTTCCAGCCGTGCTCCACCCCTCCCCCATACTCTGGCTGGATCTCCTCTTAGGTACCAACCAGAGTCCTGCCTCATTGTTTCTGTGTGGCCTCTCTTTTGTGGATTATTTCTTTCCTTCCTATATGTGATAATTATTCTGTTGATAGTTTTGTTAAGATGCTTTCAGAACCAACAGTAAAAAGAAGAAAAAAAAAGAAAAGAAAGAAATCCTATTAAAATGGAAATAAGCCCCCTTCTTCCAATCTGGGGCCTTTTCATCAATTTTATTTTTTCTCTCTCCCATACAGGTCTGGTTCAGTGAGAAGATGTTTGAGCCCTCGTTCTGTTTTTACACCGGATATAAAATTCCTGTGTGTAAAACCTTGGACCAGTATTTTGAGTACATCCAGTCTCTGCCATCCCTAGATAATCCAGAAGTCTTTGGGCTCCACCCTAATGCTGACATCACGTGAGTTCTTGGCATTTAATTCCTCTTTTTTTTTTTTTTTTTAATTTGAAGGTGTCATTTGTAACTCAGCCTGGCAAAGACTATGCATTTCATTTTCTCCCTTAATCTCTCTCCTTTCCCTTCTTTTTATTTTACTGTGAAAAATAGTGTTGCTTCCTGTCTTCCAATTACAACTCTGTCACTGCTCAGCCTGCCCTCCCCTCACTAAATCCTGATGGCCTGGCGTTTATGACAACTCGAAAGCTGTAATTTATGTGTTGATTACTTCTCTGTTCTGTCAGAAAAGCCAGTTCTGTTTTCCTTTTAATCGATGCTCTCCATTGATAGTCATCTCCCCACTCCTTATCGCTTTCTCCAAATTACCCTTTAAAAATATACCACTTGGGACGAGAGAGATGACTCAGTGGTTGAAAGTACTTGCTCTCTTGTAGAGGACCCAAGTTCAATTCCCAGGGGCTCACAACCACCTGTAACTGCGAGCTATCTGTCTCCCTTTCTGGCTTTCTTGGGGCGCTGCACTCATGTGTGTGCATACCCACACATAGACACATATGAAGGGGCAAGGCACATATAGATAGAGCCCTGTCTGACCCTCTCCATGAGGGCTATCTCTTTTCATGCTTGCTCACCCACAGCCTATGGTCATGAGCTCCTCACGGGCACATACCCCAGAGCTCAGTGTGAGGTCCCCGATCCGACAAATCCATAGAAATGACCACCAATCCCAAGCATCTTCTTTGGCCCATCCTCCAGATAAAGTTTCTCTTTGGAGAACCCTCCATGGAAAAGCATCACTTCTCTCCACCTACTGACTCAGCCCCAGTTGAGCCATTCCTTTGCAAGATGTGGCCTCTGTGGTCCACCAGAAGAAGATTCCTAGCTAGAGAGAAGGGCATGCTTGCCCCTCTCCCAGTCCCAGGCTGTAATTTTAATAACTCTTTTGTCACGTAAAGGCACTACCCGCTTCAGCACACAACAAGTGCAGCGTCTTCCCACCCAGACACAGCATAGCCCCTGGCATGAGATTCTGTACCCACAGTGGGCTCACCTCCTTTGTACCCTCTAATCTGGCCCGTGACACTTCCCTTTAGAGAAGCTGTCACCACCCAGTGCTCATTTCAGACCCTGTGATGGAGTGTGATAACCCTCTAGTGTTGCCTCTGGACTGCTGCCCTGAGAGAGACTCTGTTGAGTGAGCTGAAATGAGAGCATAGTGAAGCAATGAAAAGGGCTTTGTTGTTGATCAGTTTGAGAACCAACAGTGAGAGAGCGTGGCCAAGGAAGTGGTTTTGCTTGAGATGAGGGTTTTAAAATGTGAGTAAGACTGCATACTTCCTATGCTGACAATCCTTCTGAGGTCCTGATTCATCTTGGGTCAAGGTCAAAGGTGCCTGCATACATAGAACCCAGACCTCTGTTTCCTGCCTCCATCCCTCCCTCCTTACACCCCTGCTTCCAGCTCAGCTCAAACTCTCCATCACTTCCTGTGACTTAGACCACAGGACTCCACACTTGTACCTCCTGGAACACACCCCCCCACCCTCTAGAATATCACCGTGGCTTGCCTTTTATCTCTTCCGGCCCTTGCCCTAAAGTGTCATGTTTTCAGTGATGCTTCCCCATAGTCGCCTTAAGTACAAATAGTGACCCATTTTCAATGCCACCCCAGACCCTACCCTCCCACCCTGCCAACATTTTCTTATATCGGCCACAGACATGATCTATTTTCATCATTTATTTGCTTTTACTTATCAGCCACTTGTTAAATATAAACTGGATGCAATGGAACTGTATCTAAAACCCATGTCCATTTTCACTTCTGTGCCTTCTGGCTATAACCGTGCCCAGTGCTCAGGAAACTTTGGTTGGTTGAGTCAGTAAGACTCTAAGCAGTCTGATCAGTGGGTCTAACCCATAGGATGTGATGGTTTCCCACGGGTGGGAAAAAAGTAGCAGGCAAAAAGTTCATGCAATTCTAATTATGTAATAAAAGATACTGTGGGTTGGAGATACAGTTCTGATAAATGCACAAAGTTCTGGGAAACTTATTTTAGGCATGGTCTTGTGCAGCTCAGGCTGACTTTGAACTTGCTCTATTACTGAGGATGGCCTTGAGTATTGGATCCTTCTACCTCATTCTCCTAAGTGTTGGGACTGTAGCCATGTATCACCATGTATCAGACAATGATGGACTACATTCTGGAATTGCAAGCCCTTCCCTCCCTTAAGTTGCTTTTGGTTAGAGTGTTTTATTATAGCAGCAGAAATGAATCTAGAATAGGTACTCTTTTTTTTTTATTTTGAGTGAACTTTTCTATACCTAAGCATTATTGATGTATAATTTGTCCAATTTTCTCCAGTAGCAATTTTAGTCCTTTTTTGTTTTTAGGACTTAATTACATGCACATATGTACAAATGCATACACATGATTCTAGCCTTTTATTTGTGATATATGTTGAAAATACTATTTCCTGTTTTCTCATTTGGTTTTGCCTCTGCTTTTGAAGGTCAAAGTGTTGCTTGTCATTTGGTTTTACTGTTGTTTTATGATGGATTGTTCTGTTGCCACTTCTGGGCCTATAGTAATCGCAACAAGGCCTGTTCTTGTATGAGGTTATGATCGAGCAATCCCCTTTCTGGTGTATGCATGGTTTTATAGTTCACATTTAACTTTTTAGGCCATCTGGAATTTTTGTGGCATCCAAGTATGGGTGAAGCCTCACCTTTTTCCAAATGTCAATCCAGTAATCATTGTCAGTGATGTGAGCTGCTTCCCTATCTGTAGGCAGAACTTTGATGGGTGTGTGGGCCCACATCTGGGCTTCCTTTGCTGTAATAGTTTGTTTATAGACTCTCATGTTTTATTATCTGGTCAGGTCTTCTCGTTGCACACCCCCCTACTATTTTTCCCAGATATCCTTGCATGTTTATTTTTTATCATTGCAAACAAATATTAGATCCTGAAATTTATTCAGTACCTTTCAGTATCTATAGTACACATCATATGGATATCTTCCAACTTGCTAAATAATATATAATGGATCTTGTAATCCAAATTATCTCTTCTTTCTTGAAATTGATTACCCCCACTTTCCTGATCTTTTCATGTGGGTAAACTGTAAACAGTTCACTGGGAAGATACTTGCACTGTGGTTCATAAATAATGTTGATCCAGGATTTTTGAGAGAGAGAGAGAGAGAGAGAGAGAGAGAGAGAGAGAGAGAGAGAGAGAGAGAGAGAGATATCCATGGTGTCTTTACCCAGTTTCATTGTTAACCAATGGTTATGTTTGCTTTGTAAAATATTTATAAAATATTTCCTAATCCCCAACAATTTATGTGCTTAAAAATTGAGTTGAGCTCTCCTATGAACCCACCAGTGCCTGGTGCTTTTTAGTGTTGCTATTTCTTTGGCACATTTAGTTCTTTCTATTTCCATTTGCAGTTGAGTTTTATAAATTGTATTCTCAAAGGAAGTCATGTGTTGACGCTGTTTTTTCATGTTTGCTTCCATGGAGTTGTGCAAGGTAGGCTTTGCTTGAATGTATGCATATGGTGCCGAGTACGTGCAGTGTATTTATTGTGGAAGTGTGTGCATCCCTCTAGCTCTGTAGGGCTTGGTCTGAAATCCGGTAGCTTGCAGTTGCTCCAGTCTCTCTCCAAAAGGAATATTCTAGCTCCCAAAAATAATTTGTCAGGCAGCTATGGCCAGCCACTTTGCTACAGTTAGTCTGTTTATCCCCAGAGAAACCATGGGGGCCACCTTGACATTAACACAGGTGTTTGCCATGCCACACACCAGGGGTCCTCTTTCACAGGACTCAGCTCAATAGCTCCTCAGTCACTGGTTAGAAAAGCACACTGTGGCAGAGAACCAGACTAACTTGCAAAATGTATGAGTACCGTGGTCAGTCTTCAATATAATATTCTGGTTAACAGTGTGACCTTGTAGCTCCTATTCATTTATTCTTTCAGAGTTAACTACATGCACACAATGTATTTTGATCATATCAACCATCTATTCTCCTGCCCAGTTCCTCCCACACCCTCCCACCATGTTTCTCTCCCATGTCCCTTTTATTGATATAATCCACTACGTCTAGCTAATGCTGCAGTATGTGCATGAGTGGGGGGCCCTCCACTGGAGCATGGACAGCTTACCTTCCCCTCCCCCAGCAGCCTTCAGCTGTGCACTATCTCTTTGGCTGTGGGTAGGGCCTCATGACCTCCTCCATCCATGCTGCAATGCTGGCTGGCTTGACCTTGGGCAGCTCTTGTGCAGGGATCCGCAGTTGCCATGAGTTCTTGAGTGCAGCATCCCCATAGTGTTCAGAAGTCATGGTTTTTACAGCAGTCATCTCTGACAGCTGGCTCTTTCAGCCTGCCTGCCCTCTCTTCCTGGTTGTTTCCTGAGTTTTAGGGAGATGGTGTGATATAGATGTGCACCTTAGGGCTTTGTTCACTGTTTCCACCAACTTCTATGCATTTTGTCCAGTCGTTGAGTTTGTGGGTTAACTACCACCCCATGCACAAAGAGGCTTCTCTGGTAAGGACTGAGAACCTCACTAACCTGTCTGTGATGGGAGTTGGAGTGGGGGTGGTGGAGTGGGAGGGGCTCCAAAAGTGTTAACTGAGGACCTGTCTGCACCAGGAGCTGAAAGGAGGTAACGAAGTCTCACCACAGTCTTGTATGATTTCTTTCAGGTAACTCAAGCCCCAAACCGAACCCACGACTCCCCCCCCCCTGCCCCACCGCCGCCATGCTTCAAGCTCTTCTCGTCTCAGTAGTTTCTAGGGCACACAGAACACAATGCAATATCTCTGATACCTCCCCAACCTTATCTAGAGCACCCTTGGAGCCCCATATAACATCTTAGAGACCCAGACCCAGTGGGTAAATCCAGGGATGTATGGATGCAGGCCTAGGTCAGGAATGGTGATGGGCCAGACAAAGTGACAGGTCAAGTTATAAAACAGATCTGACGGGGTTCCTTGAGGGTGGAGCCAAGGTCTAGAACTGTCTTCTGTAGCTTCTGTTCATTTGTTGCTGCTCATGGATGATAGAGAGGGTATAGGAATCCATTTGACAGGCTCACTCCAGGAAGCCTAAGCTGGCATCTCTCCAAACCAGGCCAAGATCTTTAATCTTTTCTCACACTCATAGGGGACAGGTAGAGCACCCTGGGTGTCTCCCACTGGTGGACAACTCTTTCCACTGGAGAGATACCTTCTGGCCTGAGAGACGAGTGCACTTAGTTCCTCTGGTCTGGCTGAATTCCCATCTTCCCATTTGGTCTCTCCTTGGGGTTCTCCCATCCTGCGTCCCCTCCCGTCTGGGCTTCATGCCCCGTTTTAGTTCCTGCTGTGCCCAGGCAGTCAGCTGTATCCTGCAGTTGTGTTTGGAAGGTTTCCTGGTCACTGTTTTGGGCCTCACTCTTCTTGCCTCTAGGCCCTGAGTATCTAGTGACTAGAATCCTACCCTGCAATTATCCTGCTTTTATTTTTTCAAAGGCTTCTGCCTCCTGCTCCCTTCCTGTCCCGAAGTGGCCACCAGGAGGCAGTAAGCAATAAGGGACACAGTTTCCCAGCTACAACTTACCCTTTCCCACCCCAGTAAGTCTCAGTTCTTCAAGGTCTGTGTAAATCGATGTAATCAAAGGCGCTTCTGCCATATACAGTCTGGGAGGGTGGGGATAACAGAGGGTTCGAGAATGAGACAGCCTGTGAGGGGAAGTCAGAGTCCCATGTGGGGTGTGTTGAGGTAGTGGTTGAAGCCACATGACATGAAGGACTTTACAAAGCAGTGGCCTATTCAGTCTGTGTCGATGTTTCCCATCAGAGGAATCACGGCTTTATCTGACTGGCCACGCCGTTCAACAGTAATCTTGCTTCTACATGGTCACATGGGTGTCATGGACCATGGTGAAGAGTTGCCCCCTGTTTATGAGGGTCTGCCTTCTGAAGTTCACATCCATAAATCTCTAAGGAGAGAAATCTGTAGAAGGGAATCACAAGTCTTCCTCCTTGGTCTCTGAAGGTGGTGGTGGAGGGGGAATCACACTGAATTAAATGTTTTAAAATAAGTAAAATCTCTCCCAAGAGGTTAGCTATCTTGGTGACAGAAGCTATAAAAATGCACAGTGTATTCACATTTTATTATCTAGATTTATAAGGTAGCAAAGACTCCGCAAATTCCTCTATCTCGATGTCAAAAGCAGTTATTTATTTTGGCTCTTTTTCTCATTAGTGAGTTATGCATATTTTTCTACCTTCCGAAATTTATCAAGTGCCTCATTACAACTTTTCCATTCATTTCAACCTGGGGCAAATGTAAACATGTTCCTCTTGGAATTAACTGGCAATTTTTGAGTTTTAGATTTTTTTTTTAAATTATGCTCATTGATATTTCATGTGCTGATCTGGAAATGTGTGTGCTGATACCTCATTAGGTGTTTGATTGTTTGTTTTATGGGCAGTGCTGTCTTTGAGTTGTTTTGCATTTTTGTTATTCTCGACTTCCAACTCCCTGAACCACTAAGCTACAATGGCTAAATTGTTTCTTTTCTTACCTTTACTCCAAAGAGAAATCTCCAGGAAGTAACTCAGGACTAAAGTCCCTGGGTTGTGGCAGTCTTTTGCTTCACCTCAGAGCATCTGTGGAGACTGTTTACCCAAAAGCCCTTGGGCTTTTGCGGCATGGAGAGGTATTTGCAGTTCTCCCTCAGAGCCAGCTGACTAGGCGCTTTGCCCTTTGTATCTTTGTAAACATAAAAATCACGATGTGGAAAAGGAAATATAAGTCGTGCAACCCTCAAGTGCTAGGCAATGGCATTCCGTGCCTAATAAAATGGGTGATGAAGTGACCTGGGAGCTCGCCTGGCTGTCACTCAAAGTGGGCCAACTCTTGAGGGTTCCTTAGTAATAATACCTGTGTTCTGAGGACTCCTCTTAGATAGCCTCATAACGAATAAAACTACCCACCATGAAAGTGATTTTGTAGGGGAGATGTAGCAGAGGCAGCCCAGCGGCACCTGTGAACTTGATCAGAGCCCCCAGAGAACAAGATGTCCCTGCCCATGGTGGTCTACTGGCTCCCAGTCACTGGTGTGCAGGCCAGTGGGGATGCAGTAGCGATGTAGAGACCGGTGAGCACCCAGAGGGGATGTGAGACTGGAGACAGCTGAGAGAGCTCCCATAAGCCCTCAGACACCAGTCATTCTATATTTTATTTGTAGATAGGACAGGCAGGGCAGGACGACCTTCTTAGCAAGAATGGAAATTTACTGTGGCTTTCTTTCTTTAGCATTAGGAGATCTGTGTTGATGATATAATTACAAAATAGCTTCCTTCGTTTTGAAATTTGACTCTCTGACTCCCCTGTGGTTTGGAGGGATAATATGTAAAGATGTTTGCAGTCCAGTCCTTGAATTTTGAAGTGTGGCACAATCCATGTTTTGTTTTGTTTTGTTTTTTGAAAGCCATGTAAAAAAATGAGAGAAGTACAAATAACTTAGAGGGAGAAGACAAATACCATGAAAACACAAATTTAAATTCCTAACAGTTAAGGAACCAATGATATGTGTTTACCTTTCTATATGTGTGTGTATATATTTATTTGTGTATGCATGGTTTTCATCTCTCGCTTTAGGTGGAGAAATGTCAGGAAGTAAAAAAAAAAAAAAAAAAAAAAAAAACTTGTAATAATAATGCCCTAAATGTTCACCATAAAAAGGGTCAGATAATTAAATTTTCATGCCCTTTACATATTGGAGAATTGCTCTCCTTTGTATTTGAAGTTTAATAAGATTCTAACTAACTGGCTTCAGTTCAACAAACAAATATTTATTGAGAACTTACTGTCTGGGCAGCTTGGGAACACGAAGATGAGGAAGACGCAGTTCTCATCTTCTGAGTTCATTGCCTATTAGGGAAACAGATGAATGGTAAATACGTAAGACAATCTGATAAACTCTAAAATCAGGTTACATATACATTGCCACGGTATATATATCCCATACAGGCAAAAAAGAGAAACAAATCCCCAATAAATCCCAATTTAGGGATCAAAGACAGATGATGACAGGGGCCATTTCCAAGTTGTGTGTTAGAGGATGTGCCACTGTCAGTTTAGGGGTGGGGCATGAGTGAGGAGGTAGCTTCATCATGGGGAGAGGAGGAGGAAATGCAAGGAAGAATACAATGGGTGGTAAGGACCAAGACACAGTGGATGGAGCAATCAAGGAGGGGTGGAAAGAAATAACCCTGTTTGGGACATCTGAAATTCACAGTTCATCCAGAGCATGGGGAGCCGCGCCTACAGAAAGGAGATGTGACCAAGGCAGGGTGCAGATTCTGAGGATTTGGGGCATTAGGCAAGGAGTTTGGGCTCATTCTGTAGGTGCTGGGCAGGCTGGAGGGAGGGATGAGCAGTTAAGAGGACTTTGTAGAGGACCTGAGTTTGGCTTCTAGCACCCACACTGGGCAGTTTACAACTACCTGCAAAATTGCAGCTCCAAGGGATCTTGATGCCCTCCACAGGTCCCTGCAGACACGTGTGCATACAGGTACCAACACACATAAATAAAAATAAAATGAGTCATTTTTGAAAGCAGTAGGGAAGAGGATGGGAGTGGATGTTGGAAATTATCAGGAAGTAGGGCTTGGAAGCCAAGAGCAGCTGGGACGCCGTCAGAGGAAACCACCACGTCTGAGGATTCAGGATTGGCAGCAGCGAAGACATAAGGGACAGCTCAGGTGTGAGACAGAGGAGAATGAAGATAGTAGACCTGAGGTGAAAATGTTTAGTGTAAGACACAGAGAACTCCAGGAGGGCAGGGAAATGTGCATAGGGGGTATGCAGGAGACAGTTGGGGATTTTAATACTGCCCAGCATGGCCTGATACTTAGCTGTGCTCTGTAGCATGTCCACCATGGTGGCCTCTCCACTTCTCTAAGAGTGATTCATCCATGCCTTTTGTCTGCACTGTGTCTAACCCCAGAGGGAGGTAACGGACTCACGTGAATCACACATGATCTAAATTTCTGAAACCTGGGTACAATGACTTGTGGATATTAGACCATGACTCATTTCCTTTTGTTGTCTCATTAGCTATTTGCATAGACTTCCCCCCCCCCCCGAGTTATTTGTGTTTTTGTTAGACTTTATATGACTTTTAAACCTGAACTATGACCTGTACTGTTGTTATGTGTCAAGAGAAGCAAAACACATACATGCACACACACGCGCACGCGCACACACACACACACACACACACACACGAATACAAATGAAAATGTCTATTTTTTACTTTTGTTATTTTGAAGTTCACACATGTAAAGGGTAAGATGGAGACAATTCCCAAACTTTGGGTAGAATGACAAACATTCGCTCTAACATGAGAGCGCTTACAGTGACCACACAGACAGAAAACCCAGTGTGTAAAATATGATGCCATGTGTACTTACTGTGGCTACAACTCCCTGTAAGGTTGTGGGCACATCTGTCCACATGTGGTGTTGCATGTGCTCATCATGTTAGATAGGAATGCTGGAGACAGGAGCATGTCCTCTTCAACTCCATTCACGAATGAGGCCATCACGGCTCCACAGGACTCCCTGGTTCCCACAGAACACAGTTCCGTTACACGTGGAAGGCAGGATAATGCATGCTATCGGTAGCTCCTTGGGTGTCTGGCAGTGACCGCATCCGAGTTCCACAGAAAGATGTTTAATTCACACCTAGGAGTGCTGAGAGAAAACGGTGTCATTCTCTCCCTCACGCTGAAGAAAAACATCAGCTGTCAGCCGAGGGCCTTTCTGGCTGGTGTGTCTTGTGAGGTGCATTTTAATGTCCCCTGAACATTTGCCACTGATTCATCCCGGACCGTTTTTTTTTTTGCATCTGAGATAGGCTTTGCCCATAGGGGTGGGATAATGTCTATTTCTAAAAATGAAAATGGTTTTGCAATTTTGTTATAAAGTCAAATTTTTCTAATACACTATCTTGAAAGTCAAACCTTCTTAGGGTAAACAATACAGAGGGATATGAAAGACAAAGGAACGATTATAGAAAAAGCTTACCACTGTCAGAGTACCCTTCTAGACTTTTTTGTACCTGTACACAAAATACTAAGAAACAAAACAAAACATAGGAGCCTAGTTATTTGTTTTGTTTGCTTTCTTGTTTGTTTGGTTTGTGGGTTTGTTGTTGTCTGAGATAGGGTATCTGTAGCCTGGAGTATGCTGGAACCCACTCTGCACACCAGGTTCATGGCTGTCTTCCTGCCTCAGCTTTCCAGGTGCTGAGATCATAGGTATGGATCAGTCCTGACTCATAACTGGCTTTTGTAGCACCCTATTTTATTATGAATTCTAGATGAGATCTCCCTTTAACAATGCAGATAGAACTACTCCCTTATTTTTATCAACTTAATAGCTTTTTACAGGCCTTTAGTCAGATTTGTTGTTAGAAATACCCTTACATGATTATTTATTTAAAAACTTATTTGTTACATGTGGAATATATATGGAGTGAATATAAAAGAACATTTCAACTGTTTAAAAATATAGAGAGTCAGCATAAGATGTTGCCATCCTACTGTGTGTGTGTGTGTGTGTGTGTGTGTGTGTGTGTATGTGTTGTGGTGTGTGTGTGGAGTGTTTGTGGTGTGGTGTGTGTGTGTGGAGTGGTGTGTGTGTGTGGTGTGGTGTGTGTGTGTGTGTGGTGTGGTGTGTGTGTGTGGTGTGGTATGTGTGTGTGGTGTGGTGTGTATGTGTGTGTGGGGTGTGTGGTATGTATGTGTGCATATGTATGTGGTATGTGCATGTGTGTACAAGTGTGTATGGTATATGCATGTGTGTTGTGGGTTCACTTGCCCATGTGTGGAGGTCAGGGGTCAACAGCAGGATGTCTTCCTCAATAATTATCTACCTTATTTTTGAGACAGATCTCCCCAAACCTGGAGCTTACCATTTTGGTTAAACTGGCTAGCCAACAAGCCCCCAAGATCTACCTATCTCCCCCTCCCCTGCCCAATACCGGGGCGACAGACACACAGACCCATGACAAGCTTGTATAGTGTGAGCGCTGAGGATCAAACTCAGGATCTCATGCTCATACAGCAAACACTTTGTCCACTGAGCCCTCTTCCCAGTCCCAGATATTGCCGTTTTTATGCCACTGTTTCTTTCTGTTCCCTTTTTCCTCCAATTTGGCCCTTTACCAATTCTATTTTTCCTCTCTTCAAATTTAGAAGTCATACATTTAATAGTAGTATTTTGTTTGTAATCTAACAAATAAAGCTTGCCTGAAGATCAGAGTGCAAAGCTAGCCAGAGCCACAGAGGCCAGGCAGTGGTGGTCCACACCTTTAATCCTAGCAGCCACACTAGTTAGCCATAGAGGCTAGACAGTGGTAGTATGTGCCTTTAATCACAGCACTAGAGAATATAAGGCCAGAGGAGATAGGAGCATTGCAGTCTGAGGTTTGGTGGAGAGCAGCACAGTTTGGAGATACAGTCTGAGGACAGGCTCACCCTTTTGGTCTGAGCATTGGGACAGGTGAGAACACTGGTGGCTTGCTGCTTTGCTTTTCTGATCTTCAGATAAGCTTTTTTTGTTGAATCTTGAACAAAGTATCACCAGACATCCATATCATAACTGCTTACAAAGCTAGCTCCAGGCCTCTGTGAGCAGCATACTCACATATATATACAGACACAGACATATACACACAGATACAAATACGTGAATAAGCAAAATTCTTAAGGAACATTAACCCAAACCACTCCCCTCCTGACAATTCTATATTTTAATTTTGTCTTGTTTTTTTTTTTAACCCCACAATTGACTTATAGTTATTGCCTTACCCTGTAATAGTTGTTTAGGTTCACCCAGGCATTGGCTCATTCTTTTCTACATTTCAAAACTTTCATGGGAACCACCTTTCTCCCCTCTGAAGTGTGTTCTTTAGAATCTTCTCAAGTGGCAGCCTGATGGTGGCCCCGTCCTCTGTGCTTCTCTGAAGATAGGTTATTGTTGCCCTCCTTGGTTTCTGGAAAAAAAAATCCTTTTAACAAAGTATAATCTGCCCCCTTAAGTTCCCTAAATTTAAATAGAGAATAAAAGTAAAGTTCACCAAATTGTGTGACCATCCCTGCAGTCAAATTCTTGACCATCTCTATCCCCCAGAAGGAAACCGTGTACCTATTTGTAGTTAATCTCCGTTCCTACATCCGCTCCCATGCAACTGATGATCTGTTTCCTTGTCCCCACCCCTTGACATTTCCCATGCTGCCATAGCCAGCATTTTATGTGGGTGCTGGGAATCTGAACTCTGGGCCTCATGCTTGCACCATAATTTCGTTACCAACCGAGTTGTCTCTTCAGCCTGACTGAATGAACCTTCTAGCTGGCAGCAGCATTTAGGTGGGGAAGATGGACAACAGTGGATCACAGTGGGAATTAGAAAACACAAAGCCAAACAGACCAGACCAGACCAGACCAGACCAGACCAGACCAGAGAGATTTGAGTAGCAAGTCATCCAAGGAGGGAAAAAAGATAGTTCTGTTCCATGAAATGGATTGTCATATTCTGGTAGACGTTTGTGCCCAGTTCTTGAGCCGGGGAGGATAGACAGTAGCCAGCCCAAGCTGCTTGTGTAAGCAAGTGACAGTCAAGGTAATTTGGGTCACCAAAGATACTTTAAGGAATCTCTTTATCTGGAAGTGAACCGCTGCTGCTCTGCTGTTCTTGACGTCACACTAGAAGCCAATAGGAACCCAAGTGTTCCCGTTCCTATAGGTTGATGGTGAAGTTTCTTTCCTTCCCTTCCTTTTTCTTCTCTTTCTCTTGTGGCTGGCTGTGTCTTAAGAGATCCCCTCAGCACACTTCAAGTTGGGCGATTTACCTCCAAGGCTGCCTTTGCCCCTTTCCATCAGGTATCAGAGTAACACAGCATCTGCTGTCCTGGATACCATCACCAACATTCAACCCAAGGAGAGCGGTGGTGGCATGGGTGAGACTCGCGAGGCCATCGTCTACAGGCTGTCTGAGGACATGCTGAGCAAGCTGCCACCTGACTATGTGCCTCATGAGGTAAGATACACCCTTCCTGCTGGACAAGATCCTGGGACCTGGGGGATGTGCCCCCCACCTCATACATCTCATACCATTCATGTGGAGGCCAGACGACACCCTGCAGGAGTTGGCTCTCTCCTCCCATTACGTGGGTCCTAGGGATCAAACTCAGGTGGTTATCCTTGGCTGCAAGCATCTCATCAAACCTTCTTTCTTTTATTTTATAGAATCACGTATTGAAAATGTAGCAGTCAAGTGAAATCTGTAAATTGAGAGCTAATTATGCCATTAGCTTCCACAGTACAAATGGAGTCCCATTACTGTAGACAGCTGCTCCCAGAAGTATCGTGAGACTCAGGCAGGAGACCACAGAAGGCCTTTGACTTTATTAATAAACAGTTTATGCTGGAATCATAACCATGCATGAAATATAGTCGGCATTAAAAGTATACTCTTTTTCTAGGGTGTTTCCCTCTCTGTTACAATTATTATTTCTTTTTAATTATGAAGAAATTGGTCATGCTATGTTGCCTGGGCCAGCCTAGAATTCTTAGGCTCAAGTGATCCTCCTGCCTTTGCCTTCTGAGTAGCTGGGACTGCAGGTGCAAGTGTGCCCAACAAGCTTCTCTGTTAAAACCTGCAGCTGGGAGCTGGAGAGAGGGCTCAGCAGTTAAGAGGACTTGCTGTCCTTTCAGAGGATCTGGGTTCATTTCTCAGCACCCATATCAGGTGGCTCACAGCCCGTCATGACTCCAGTTCCAGGGGATCTGATTCCCTCTTCTGGCCTCTACAGGCATCTGCATGCACATGGTACACAGACATACAGGTAGACGCCAGCGTGTTCATCATGTCCCATTTGTGGGACTGAAGTGGTCTTTTTGTAATCTCTTGTTCCCCAGAGTGAATTGCTGCAGGGTAGTCATGAACAAAGGGTGCCATCCAGTCCCCTGGGCTGAAGAGTTCAGGACGGAGACTGAAAACACAACCGGGGTGTGGCTCAGTTGGCAGAGTGCTTGCCTAGCATGCACAAGGCCCTGGGTTGGATCTCCAGCACTGCATGAACTGGGTGTGGTGCTGCACACCTGTAATCCTATCACTCAAGAGGTAGAGGCTGGAGCATCAGAAGTTCAAAGTCAATCTTAGCTCTATAGCGATGCCAGCTTGAGCTCTTATTTCTAAATAAATAAAATAAAATAAAATAAAAATAAATCTTTTTAGACACTAAAATTGAAAGGCTGGAGAGATGGCTCATCAGTTAAGAACACTTGCAGCTCAGACAGAAGACCTGGGTTCCAATCCCAGGACCCACAGAGGGCAACTCAAAACCGAAATTCATCCCAGGAATCTTCTGACTGCTGAAGGCACCCACCCATCCATGCACGTACCGTACTCTCTCTCTCTCTCTCTCTCTCTCTCTCTCTCTCTCACACACACACACACACACACACACACACACACATTTAAAAATTACAAATGTTGGAGTTAGAGAAACCCTGAAGTTAGTATGTGGGACTGGGTCATGGTCCTCCACTGGCCAGCTGGACTGTGATGTTGGTGTTATTTGGTCTGCCCTGCTCAGGTAGCCCCACTCAGATGGGTGGCTTTTATATAACTGTTTCCTGCCTTCATCTTTAATTCACTAGAATGACACAGCTGCTGTACAGCAGAGATGTTTGTTGCTGGAAGAAGCTGCTTAACATCCCACATCTCAGGAAGGGCTGTGGGCATCTCTGGCAAGAGGGTCCCTCAGCTGCTAGCCTCTGGGTGGTTCTTTGGACTTATCCTTGAGTCAAATCTATGTTCTGTCTCCATCACCCTTCCATTCCCAGAACCTCTTAGACTGTGGCCATCAGAAAGTTCCAGTCCTCTCAAGAGTTCCTGCTGGTATCCATAGTCAATCTCTTCTTAGCAAGTATCACTAAACTTAAATGTTAATGTATATTGGCTTATTAATTATTTAATCATTATATTTTATTGTGCCCACAACGAGAGGCTTTGGTATTGATCTCTTTAACGTGGCCAATAAATGATATGCCAACAGGAACAAGTGACAGGTCGCTTAGTGTCTCTCCCACGAAGCCAAATATTTTCACTGATTAGATTAGGGAAAGCCATTTTTAGCCTCCAAAGCTGAGGCAACCATGATCTGCAGTTAATTGTATTCACTGGTGACTGTTCTGTAAAGATTTGGGCTGTATTAACTTTTGTGACATTTCTAATAACAACTCTATAAGGGTAATGGAAACACAAAGTCCTGCTGTACTCTTGTGAAGGTTAGATTGCAGAAGAATATTTGGCTGACACTTAGTACCTAATCATTTGAAAGAGGAAATAGGTACAATTTTATTTCAGCTTTTTAAAGAACATTTCCAATTATCAACTAAGTACAATCAGTAGGATATAAAAGTCATTTAAGTTGAACAGAAGTTTTTGAAGCTCAGAAAATGGGGGATTTAACAGCCAGTCTGGTTCTGCAAGAGATATTTTCTAGTACATTGGGCCTAGTGGAGACACATCAGGAGAAAGAGAAAGAACGGAAAACAGGAGAGGTCGTTTGGAAGGGAAATGATGAATGGTTCTTTAAAAAAATGGATTTATTGTATGTTGTACTTTGTTTTAGGTGAAAGCTCGTTTGGTGAAGATGGGGCACCTTAATTCAATGAACATATTTCTTAGACAAGAAATTGACCGAATGCAGAGAGTCATTTCAATCCTCCGGAACAGCCTGAGCGATCTCAAACTGGCCATTGAAGGGACAATCATCATGAGTGAGGTAGGCAGCTGCCTCTTGGGGTTACTTTTTTCTTTCTTCCTTCCTTCCTTCCTTCCTTCCTTCCTTCCTTCCTTCCTTCCTTCTTTCCTTCCCCCTTCCTTCCCTCTTCCTTTCTTCTTTCCTTTCCCCTTCCTTCCTTTCCCCTTCCTTCCTTTCTTCCTTCCTTCCTCTTCCTTCCTTCCTTCCCCCTTCCTTCCTTTCTTCTTTCCTTTCCTTCTTTCCCCTTCCTTCCCCTTCCTTCCCTTCCTTCCTTCCCCTTCCTTCCTTCCTTATTTCCCCCTTCCTTCCTTTTTCTTTCTCTCTTTTTGCATGTATGTATCTGTGTGTGCACATGCTTGTTTGTGTGTGGTTATACTTACGTGTGTGAGTGTGCATACACATGTGTGAGACCCTGCATGTTGAGGGCAGAGGGCAACCTCACATGTCATTCCTCTGTCATCTTTATCTTTTTATTTTTTGTTTTTGTTTTTCAAGACAGGGCTTTGCTGTGTAGCAGTAGCTGTCCTGGAACTAGCTCTGTAGACCAGGCTGGCCTCAAACTTAACAGAGACAGACACCTTTATTTGTGAGGCAGAGTCTCTCACTGGAACCTGTAACTTACCCATTAGACTAGGGTAAGGGACCAGGGACCCCTAGAGATCCCCTTGTCTCTGCCTCCCCAGTACTGGGATTGTAAAGTACATACCCACACCAAGGTATTTTTATGTGGGTCCTGAGAATCTCAGGTCCTCGTGCTCACAAGGTAATGAGTTTACCAACTGAGCTATATCCCAGCTCCCCAGTGATGTCTCCTATTCATGTAGTTCTAAAGCTATTATTTTTTTAGCATTTATTCATTTTTATGTAGATGAGTGTTTTGCCTGCATGTATGTATGTATACAATATATATATATATATATATATATATATATATATATATATATAAAGTTGTGAGCTGCCATGTGAGTGCTGGGAATTGAACCCAGGTCCTCCCCAAGAGCAGCCAATGCTCTTAACTGCTGAGACATCTCTCTAGCCCACAAGACCACTATTTTTTTTGAGGCAGGGTTTCTCTGTGTAGCTTTGGAGCCTGTCCTGGAACTCACTCTGTAGACCAAGCTGGCCTCGAACTCACAGAAATCCACCTGCCTCTGCCTCCCGAGTCCTGGGATTAAAGGCACCACCAACACCAAGCAAGACCATTATTTTTAAAAGATCTTATATATTCCATTTTAATCATGTATATATCTGTGTGTTTGTACATAGTTATGTACACATGAGTGCAGGTGCCAGACATATGACCCCCTGAAGCTGGAATTGCGGGTGGTCATGAGCTACTTGACTTGAATGTGGAGAACCAAACTCAGGTTCTCTAAGAGCACTGTGTGCTCTTAGCTGCTGAGCCATCTCTCCAGCTTCCGTAATCACGAGTTTTACCCTCGTCTCCTTCAGAACTTGAGAGACGCGCTGGACAACATGTATGATGCCCGCATACCTCAACTCTGGAAGAGGGTGTCCTGGGATTCCTCTACCCTTGGCTTCTGGTTCACTGAGCTTCTGGAGAGGAACGCTCAGTTTTCAGTCTGGATATTTGAAGGGAGGCCTAACGTGTTCTGGATGACTGGTTTCTTTAACCCCCAAGGTAGGTGCTCACAGGGAATGGGCTCACTTGGAAGTTTGTGTGTAGCTGGATGGCAATGTCACATGCTAAATGTGTACTCCATAAAGCCGGGTGGTCCTACAGCTGTCGGGTGCTGGGAACAGCCTTTCACAGGCCCGAGAATACAAAGAATCCTTTGAAATCCTTCTTGTCACTTTCATCACACTGTGCAGTGGCCAAACCCTTCCTCCATTTCTTCTTCAGCCACATGAGTAAGCCATGGCCTGTAGTGAAAGGGTTAAAAAAATCTCTCAAACTTTAGTTTTTACTGTTGATGGGAAAGTCAAAACAGGGTTAAGGAGATGGTCATTTGGGAACATGCTTGCCACACAGGTGTGAGGACCTGGTTTGATCCTCGGCACCTGTGTCAACAAATCCAGGTCCAATGGTGTTGGGAGGCTTCAGGCTGGAGGATATTGGGGTCTTGCTGGGCAACTTGGCTAGTCAAATCGACAAACTCCAGGTTCAGTGAGAGACTTTATCTAAGAAAATAAGGTGGAGTGAGACTCCACTGTTATGAGCACTGGCTGCTCTTGCAAAGGACCTGGATTTGGTTCTCAGCATCCACACAGTGGTTCACAACCATCTGTAACTCCAGTTCTAGGGGATCCAACACCCTCCCCTGACCTCTGCTAGAACAAGGCACACATACATTCAGCCAAACACTCATACACATAAAATAGAAATAAATAAATCCTTAAAAAATAAAAAATAATGTGGAGATAGAGGAAGATGCCTGACATTGACCTCTGACCCCCATTCATATGTGGGCACACTGTCACGTGTGGCCTCCCACACATGTAATAGGTAATACATGAAATAAAAAAGCCAAAGCTTGAGATATCAGAGATGTGCCAAAATTTTCTGATTTGGGTTTGAAAATTAGACTTGAAAAATTGAGTGGGCTTTGATTGGGGCTAGGGGTGAAGACGGGGGTGGTCCTTCTCCCCTCTCACTGAAGGTGCTCAGCTGTTCTGTGTCATCCATCCCTCCATTTTAGAAACATTCTCCGAGAAAGTTGCTGACTTGATGCCATGGGGCTTATAAAGTCTGGAGAGTTAGCAACGTTCTGTTTCACCACAGGGCAGGTAGTTTTACTTCAAATCATTCTCAGCCAGAGGAAGGGATTCAGGCATCTTTATGCTCAGCACCCCGATTGTTTGGTCTGTCAGTGAGTTAAGAAGTGTTCATTCTTACTGATTTGAGAGGAATCACTGCTACTCATAGGAGTATGGGTAAATCTCATGAAAAACAATGTTGAGTGGAGGCAGCCCAATGAAAATTGCCTCACTTGTAGGAGCCCATTGTTATGAAGGCCAAGGATGGGCACAGTGGATACAGGATCACGGTCTTGCCTTCTAGGGAGGCACAGTGGGACTTCCTGGGGTCTTCAATGTACTGTTTCTTCCCCTGCATGTGGGTGACACTGCCCTTTCCTTGGTGACCATCTACTGAGCCATACACTCTAGACACTCAGTTACTTTTTATAAATAGAATTTAAGCAACTATTGTGCCTGTAAAGCATGTATTCATTTGCCCTCTGTGCATATGTGTTCATTTGTTTTATGCAACATATCTTTGAGATTAATTAGTTACTTATTAGATGTGTGATGTAGGGGGCATATGTGTCATTATGTGTGTTGGGAGGAGTCAGAAGACAACTTTGTGGAGTTGGTTCTCTTCCGCTGTCTTTATGTAGGTTGTGAGGATTGAACTCAGGTAATGAGGCTTGCTCAGCAAGTGCTTTACCCACTGAGCAATCTTGCCAGCTCTGCTCCATGCATTTCCAAGTGCCCTAACATTTTCTGAGTTTATAGCATGAACCATGGCAATTTCTACCTTCACAACAAGTTGCACAACTGATGCCCTCTTCTGGCCTTCACAGGCACTGGACTCACATGCACAGATACAAGTATACACATAATGAAAACTAAAAAATAAATAATTTAAAGATTTATCTTATTTTACATGTATATATGTGTGCCCAAGTACATGTATGTGACCCTCTGTGTGCAGGTGCCCACAGAGGGCAGAAGAGAGTGTTGGATCACTTGGGGCAAAGTTAGTCAGTTGGAAGCACCAAACCTGGATCTTCTGCAAGAACAGCAAGTGCTCTTAACCACTGTGCAATCTCAGTGGCCCCTAAATTCTGTTTTGAAAAAAACCAAAAACCAAAAACCAATGGAGATGGGTATTTCAGTACCCACCAATAAGACAAAACCCTTTTAGATTCTTTACTTCTGCCTCCATGGGAGACTTTTGACGTTTTCCCTCAGAAAGTCCACACTGAATTCAAGCCAGCACCCTAGCCTTTACAGACATGCACAGCCTCACACACCCACAACCTTATCTATGATTGCTTTCGGCTTGTTGCTTAGAAGCCTGGAGGTCACCTCTGCCTGCACAGAAATCACACCCCTGCTTCCTTCTCCTCCTCTTGACAGCAGGGACAAATTACTTTCCCGTTCCACATCGGTTGGCCACATCTGAAAAGCAGAGACCTTCGCTGCCCCTCCCCTCCTGGTGTGTGTGCACAGGCAGTGTCCGAACAGATAAAGGTTATCTGACATTAACAATAGGTCCTCCAGTGTGAATGCACCTCCTGAGACTTGTGGCTCCTTTCCAAGTCACTATGACAAAATCATCTTATTCCTTTAGTTCAAAACATTTAAGTAAATGGCTTTAAATATAACACCCCACACATTTAAGTAAAACATGGTGCTGACGTGACAAAGAGGCTAAAGTTTCATCATAAATACAGGGAGTTTGGGGCCTGGCAAGGTAGCTCAGAAAGTAAAGGTGCTTGCCGCCAAGGCTGATAACTTGAGTTCAAACCCCAGGACCCCACTGTGAAAAGAGAATAAATTGCAGTAAGTTGCCCTTTGACCTCCACATGTGTGCTGTGTTGTGCACCCCTTCCCAAATAAAAAATGTAATGAATTAAATTTGTTCACATGTGAACATTTTTATCACCTTATAATACTTACAGCTCTGGGATCTTACACTGTGTGTGGTGTATTTCCCACCAGGCCTTCTCTTCTCAGACCTAGGTGGCTTTGAGGTCGATGCTACCATAAAGGACAGGTGGCATTCTTCTTTAGCCACCCCACTCCCACCTCCGGTTAACATCCCAGCCAGCACTGTTGACATCATCACTGGCTTGTCTTGTGACTAGCTTGATATTGTGTGTGTGTGTGTGTGTGTGTGTGGTTGGGCATATTTGAAGAGGCTGAATCATAGAGCACAGAGCCTCACCTGTTATTTTTCAGGCCCCCTTCACGGTTATTTCTGTGGCAGTTGATGAGCTCAGCCATGTGGACAATTAGACTGGATGATTAAAATGGTCACACTGCAGCGGTGACCCTATGCTGTTTGTTTCAGTGGCACGGCTTCTTCTTTGGTGGGCGGGTGGACTCTCCACCAGATTCTGCAGACCTGGAGAGCCTTTCTCTTTCACTAGTTTTCTCTGGCAGTTTTGAGCACATGGAGTTATCAAACTCTTTAAGGCTGTGATTCTCAGGGCCCACAAAGGAAGTCTCCCCCAGCCTCGTACCATTCTCAGGAGCATCATGTACACATGATTTAGACTCTGGTGTGTGTGTGTGTGTGTGTGTGTGTGTGTCCTCTCTACATGGGGGAGGTGTCTAAACCAGTAGGAATGAATTATAGGGAGGCAGACTTCAAGCTAAGACATTGACTCCTTAGTGATACCTTCAAATTAATAGCCACGTTTTGTCATTTGATGTTGGGAATGACTCAAAGGTGTCCTAATGACATGATGGTGGAAGCTGGCCATGCTCCCTGGGTCTCGCACCTCTGTATTAGATTGAAACCTGCAGCAACAATCATTTTCCAAATGCTTAATTCAGTCTGGAGCTTGGTTCCATTTAGATTCCCGTTTTTCCCCCTGTCCCTCCCTAAGCCATAGCAGTCTGTTGTGGCAGATATCAATACCAGCTTATTCTTTCGCATGAATCATGATTCTTCACTTAGAGGAGTTGTTGCCGAAGCAAAGAGATGGGTCATTTTTGTCCTGTTATCTTGCCTGTGTGTGCGTGTACGTGTGTGTGTGTGTGTGTGTGTGTGTGTGTGTGTGTGTGTGTGTGTGTGTGCGCGCGCGCGTTTTCAGAGCAATGCAATCCCAAATGCTCTTTTTGAGAACGGCTCCAAGAGCTGCTGTTTGTCAAGGTGGAAAGTGGGCCAAGGATTAATAGACTTTCAGGATAGGAAAGGAACCAGGAAAAACTTCTTGTCTCGTGTCAGTTCTTCAGCTGTTTCCTCGTGCCCCTGTGCCCAAATCTCAGAACTGCAGAGGGACCCCACTGCACTCAGTGAAAAGCCTTAGTGTGGGTGACAGGCAGTTCTGCCTACCTTCAGACAAGAGGAGCCTTTAGCACTGGCCTTGGTCATAGTCACAGCCACATCTCCTAAAATTCTAGTCTTGGCATATGGCTACCAACTGTCTAGTGCCTTTGTCTAGTCCCTTGTAATTTGGCCAGCCATCAGGAACTATCAAAACCACTATCTCCAAGGCCACCTCCACCTAAGGACATCTCCACTGAGTTCATTCCCTTGACTGCAGCTAGGGTGTCAAATCCGGACCCTCTCCCCCCATCTCTTGTGTGTGCCACATGCATTCTGGTGTTCACACAGGCCAGAAGGGGGCATCTGCTACCCCTCATCAAGGTGGAGTTATAGATTGATATGAGGCACACATTGTGGGTTCTGGGAACCGAACTCCAGGCCTCTGGAAGAGCAGTAAGTGCTGTTAACTGCTGAGCCATCTCTCCAATCCCTGGAAACTCTTTTAGACCCTGGCTTCCATCTGTGCACTTCCTTGGTTCTCTTCCTGCCCCTCCTTGTGACTTTGCCAGGCAGGCTCTGCCTTGGGCCTCAGCCTCTTCTCACAGGAGTGGCTGTTCATCTCTCCATGTGATTGACTCAATGCCAACAGCAAGCACAGGAAGTTCTGTTGTCTAGCA